TTTACTTCTTTTCTGAGAAATGTCTGTTCAATGAACAGATGCCAGTTTTTGAATTGGGTCTTTAAATTTGGGGGGTCTGATTTTTTTCAGTTCTTTATATATTCTTGATAGTAGTCCTTTGTCTGAGGTACCACTGCTAAAATTTTGTCCCCCATTGTAGGTTGTCTGTTAGTTCTGTTGGTGGTTTCTCTTGCAGTGCAGAAGCTTTTTAACAAGATGAAATCCAAGTTGTTGATTCTTTATGCTAATTCCCTTGCTACTGAGGTTTTGTTCACAAAGTCTTCTCCTATGCCAATGTCTTCGAGAGTTCTACCTAACTTACCTTCCAGCAAGTTTAGTGTTTCTGTTTTAATATTTAGATCTTTAATCCACTTCGATCTTAGTTTAGTGCATGTTGATATATATGGTCTAGTTTTAATCCTTGGCAGGTTGAAATCCAGTTTTTCCAACACCATTTATTAAATAGGCTATCTTTTTTCTATTCATCTCCAATTTCATCACACTATGGTCTGATAATATGCAGTGGATAACTTCAATTCCTTTGCACTTACCTAAATATGTTCTATGAGTGAGTATGTTGTCTATTTTGGAGAATGACTGGTGTGCAGCTGAGAAGAATGTGTATTCTGATTTTGTGGGGTGGAACACTCTATAAACATCTGTTAAGTTCATTTGTTCAACAGTTTGATTGAGTTCTAGTATTTCTTTGCTTGTTTTTTTTCTAGTTGATCTATCTATTTGTGTCAATGGGGTATTGAGCTCCCCCACTGCTATTTTATTAGTGCTCATATGATTTTTCATGTCCGTTAGTGTTTGTTTTATATAGTTTGGCACACTCGTGTTTGGTGCATAGATATTTATGATTGTCATCTCTTCCTCTTGAATTGTTCCCTTTACAAGGATGTAGTGTCCTTCTTTGTCTCTCTTAATCAGTGGGGATTTGAAATCCACTTGGTCTGCGAAGAGATTAGCTACTCCTTTTTTTCGGGTTCCTTCCTCTTGAATTGTTCCCTTTACAAGGATGTAGTGTCCTTCTTTGTCTCTCTTAATCAGTGGGGATTTGAAATCCACTTGGTCTGCAAAGAGATTAGCTACTCCTTTTTTTCGGGTTCCTGTCACATGAAATATTGTATTGCATCCTTTAACTTTCTGTCTATGTGTTTCTTTTTGAATTAAGTGTGTTTCTTGTATGCAGCATATTGTTGGATTTTGCTTCTTGACCCATTC